TTTACATATTTATGAAAATAAAATAACATAAATTATAAAATAACATAAAATACATAAAAGTAAATTTACTTTTCTGAGAATGTTTAGGCCAGCAGAGAAGGCCTTGCTGGCCCTCAGGGTCCGCCACTGCTGTATATACTGTACAATTACAATACATCCATCCATCCATTTTCCGATCCGCTTTATCCTCACAAGGGTCGCTGGAGCCTATCCCAGCCGTCTTCGGGCAGTAGGCGGGGGAAACCCTGAACCGGTTGCCAGCCAATCGCAGGGCACACAGAGACGAACAACCATCCGCGCTCACACTCACACCGAGGGACAATTTAGAGTGTTCAGCCTGCCAGCCATGCATGTTTTTGAAGTGTGGAAGGAAACCAGAGTACCCAGAGAAAACCCACACAGGCACAGGGAGAACATGAAAACCCCACACAGGAAGGCCGGAGCTGGGATCGAACCCAGGGGGTTGAGGTTGACGCGCTAACCACTAGACCACCGGACCGCCAATTACAATACAATGATTTGCAAATCATGTCCAACCTATATTTAAATGAATCCTACAAAGACAAGAGATTTCATGTTTGAACCGGTAATCTTTTTAGCAATTTATTAACTTTGAATTTTATGGCTGCACCACATAAAAAAAAAAAAAAAAGCTGGGACATGGTTATGTTTTTTTTTATCACCTTTTCTTTTAACAACATTCAATAAACATTTGGCAACTGAGGACACTAATTGTTGATGCTTTGTCGGTGAAATTCTTTCCCATTTTTTCCCCAGCTTTAAACAGTCAGGGGGTCTGCGTTGTCATAAATTTACACTTCGTTATGCACCGCACATTTTCAATGGGAGGCAGGTCTGGACTGCAGGCAGGTCAGTCTAAGAGCCGCATTCTTTTACGCTTTTGTAACAAGTGTAGAATGTGGTTTGAAATTGTCTTGCTGAATTAAGCAGGGGCATTCATGAAAAAGACGTTGCTTGGGTGGCAGCATATGTTTCTCCAAAACCTGTATGTACCTTTCAGCATTAATGTTGCCTTCACAGATGTGTAAGCCTCCCATGCCATTTGCACTAACACAGCCCCATACCATCACAGATGCTGGCTTTTGAACTTTGCGTCCATAACAGCCCGGATGTCTATTTCCCAAAGGACACAATGTCCACAATTTCCGAACACAATTTGGAAATGTGGACTCGTCAGACCACAGAACACTTTTTCACTTTGCATCAGTCCACCCATTTCTGGGTGTTGTTGACGATGCAATGTTTTTTGCATTGCATCGTCGAGTTTTAAGTTGCATTTACAGATGCAGCGCCAAACTGTATTTATTGACACTGGTTTTCTGAAGTCTTCTTCAGCCCAGGTGGTGGTATCCTATGCACATTGATGTCAGTTTTTGATGCAGTGCCGCCTGAGGGATCGCATGTCACGAGCATTCAATTTTGGTTTTTGGCCTTGCCACCTAATATGCAGTGATTTTGCCAGATTCTCTGAAAATTAAATATATTTGTAGTGTATTCCATTAAATATACGTTGACCATGATTTGAAAAGCATTGCATTCTGTTTTTAGTTATGTTTCACACAACAAGCCAACTTCACTGGAATTGGGTTTGTTTGAATCCGTGTCGTCACTTCGCTACTGCTTGCCTTATTACCAAACAGGGCGATTAAAAGCACGAAAGAGAGCAAAAAGTCTTTATTACTGCTGGTAGTAACAATTCGTCCGTTCCTGCCTAAGAGCAGAATGGCAGAATGTGAGTCGAGAGGATTTCACAGAATGAAATAAATAAGAATTAAATGACACTTACTGTCTCGGAAGCAACTCAATAGGGATATGAAATATAAAACATTTCAGGCAATGTTTGAATTACTTGAAACTTTATTTAGGAAACTAAAAGTGGAGAGATAAAACCCAATTAGCCTGTCCCTGCTATTCTCAAGAGTACCACTTTATTGTTACTTTTGTGATTAAACTAAAACAAATAAAATCATGGAGTCATATTCTTCTTCAACCACTTAGGCGCATGTGTGCCAAAATGTAATCTTCAACTTCAAAAGTATTTCAGAGCAAACAGTCGGCAAAGTCACGTGATTGTGTGATTTTCCTCTATGCACGCAAACACAATGGCGTAATCAACCGATTTGCCACCCTTAAAAACTGGCGGCATTCTTCTATGCCTCCACACGCCAGCTAGCTGGTGATTGAGGCTGTTTGTTTGATTTTGATTTCATCCTTAATGCCTAAAAGGGAAATTAATGTCTGTCATTTTTTTTCGCAAATGAAAATGATGGGTTTGGCGTGACCCATTTTTGCAAACAGTTATTTATATTTTCTTTTTTTCGTTTTTTTTTGGGGTGGGGCAGGGCGGAGGGGGGTCAGTGATGCTACAAACATCTTTCCCGTGCTTGTGTACTATATTAAAAACAAACTGAAATAGCCTGACAACCCTAATCTTTTGACTTTACGTTTTTAAAGTATTATCGGTCTTTCTTATCTGTTTGTGAAATGTGCCCCCTCTGCCCATAAAACCTAGCGATAGCCTCCTCAAGAATCATGTCCAAATATTAAGAGGCGGTGGTGTCCCTGTGTTAGAAAACATCAATACATTACAAATACCAAGCAAATGAGCACCTCTTAAAATCCGGTAGCTGATCTGTTCACTTCTATTCTTGTCTCCATCTTTTGCAAAAACCGGTCCGGGTTCCAGTGTCAGCGGGCCTTCCTGTTGATTCAAATCGTACTCTCATTCCGCAGCTCACCTTTGTTTTAATCGCCTCACAATAAAAATCCAACATGCGGCTCTGCTTCATATTAGTCCAAAATCATTTTCAACAGAGGAATGTGAAAATGGCTTCTTATCTATCAGCTTTGAAAGCACGACATCACGCCGTGAACTCACCTCCTTCTCCGTTAGATTGACTTTGCCTCTGTAACCAGCGCTCACACACAGCTTGGCAAGCCCTAAATTAGTCCTCAAACAAGGCTGAAACCAGGGCGGCCGGTTATCTACGTCCTTTATATGCACCGTGATGGTGGCCACGGAGGTGAAGAAGGGCTCATTGGAGGCTGAACCATTGAACGTGTCCTGTAAAGTTTTCAACAACCAAGGTCACAGAAAAGCGGCTTGATCTCGAAATGCTGCTATGATGCTGCACTGTACCTGTACGTGTAACACCAGTGAGATTTTCTGAACAACATCGTAGTCCATCACACTTTTAACAAGTAATTTTGGAGTGTTGATGTTCTCCAGACGGAAATATTTATCCTAATTGAACAGACAAGAGAAAAGCAGACTGGGGTCATGACCAAAGGCCTTAACGCAACTCTATTACAACTCAAGTCAAAAACAACACATATACTTTACATATGGATTCATTTGCAAAATACAAATCTGATTAATTCTTTCTTTTGATATATGGAATCTGTAAATGCATACATCCATATGTATCGGGCATGGGTAAGATGGAGCCTATCTATCCTCGTTGGCTTTTGACAGAGTATGATCTCTAGACCAGTTGCCAGCCAAACACAGGGGCCAATCATCAATCACACTCACATTCACACCCAAGGCCGACTTTACACCTGGACAAGGGGGATCGGCGCCACCTCAAAGAAAAGCTTCTCAAATCAATCCACGCAAGCTTCCTCAACTTTGTGTCTCCTCCAGTCTGTGCTGTGCGCAGGCTGTTTGTGATCGACTAATAAATTGTTCACAAGTGTATATATACAGCAGCGTCCATTTTTGCTGTCAACCGAGGATTGTTTGTCTTTTTTTTTTTTTTTTTTTTAATCATCAAGCGTGAGAGTGGAGCAGAGCCCTTTGTGCACCAATAATGATAACATGTGACCTGATAACATGATAAATGAAATGATATTAAAAAAAAAACAGTTTAATGCTGGGCTCTATTTGGTAGACAGTGCACCGGCACCGTGGTGCAAATGCTGTCAGATTCGGACTTTCAGCACAAAGCTCACTACAACCAACACACTTTGCTGTTCCATCCTGTGAGGCAGCACAGCAAATGAGTATCTTGGAGATGCACCTGTGTCAAGGTTATTCGGCAGAATTACAAATATTTTTAAGTAGACACGCACCGAATCGAGACAAGAGAGAAACAACACAACCGGAATCTGAGCTCATCTTTTACAAAAGAGCAGACAGTCGCTTCCAGCGCACCAAAGTCATTCAGCGCCCTGTTTCCCTACTGCTCCTTTTAGGAATCGAACAATGTTCTACAGTACACTCCCAGTGCTCTACCGTGCTGCCTGTAATACACCTCGATAGTTCTAAACAAACAAACTCATATTTTCTCACAAGCAGTTGCCAAGTCTATGAAAAGAAATTCACTGCAGTCTATACCTCAGATGTCAAACTCAAGGCCCGGGGGCTAGATCCAGCCTGCCACTTCATATCATGTGGCCCACTGACGCAAATTTTGTGCATCAACTTCTATGATTCTTGCTAAAACCTAAATTTCTAATGGTCATATGTAGAAATAATAACAGAGATATTGCAAGTGATTTTTGTGACCAAGCCCCTCTTTCTAGTAACTTGAGTGATGTCATTACCAAATGACTGTCACCGCTTCAAATGACCACAAAAATTCTACTTAGTTCAAATTACATTTCATAGTCTTACCATGGCGGACTCTAAGCGATAAAATAGTGGTTCAGAATCAGCATCAGTGGCTTCAATCAGTCCAACACTGGAATTGACAGGAGTCAGCTGGGAAGTGCAAAAGTGCCAATTTTACAATTACATCCAACATAAAATCAAGGACAAATTCAGCATGTCCGATGGCTGCACGGCTCACCTCATTTACTTCCAGAATGTAGCTATTCTGAGCAAAGTTTGGGGGGTTGTCGTTTATATTTTCCACCAATACTTCGACAGACTCATTGACCTTGTGTGGGGAAAAAAAATCATGCTTAATTCATCAAGTGCGACGGTGATGTTTATGAGGTGATGTTGTACTCACAGATTTGGAGCCTGGTCTGCTGCATTGTACCCACACCACCAGAGCTGCTCTGTTGGGTAAAGCCTGACAAACATTTATCCATGGTAATATGACGTGAATATTACGACGGTCATTCAATAAATAAGGTGAATTTTTCGGTATAAGGACTATAGAAGCTTACTTTTTTTTCCTCAATGTAGTCTCCCAGCACTATCACACACTTTTCCCATCTGTGCACAAGCTTTCATATTCCCTCAGCGTAAAAATCTTTGGACTGATGTCTCAGCCAGTCGCTCACAACACTTTTGACTTCATCGTCACTTTCAAACTTGGTGCCTTTCGTGAACGCTTTGAAGGGACCAAACAGGTGAAAGTCTGAAGGGGCAAGGTCTGGGCTGTAAGGGGGTTGAGGGAGCAGTTCCCAGCCTGGCTCGTTGATGGTCTGAACCGTTTGGGCTGCTGTGTGAGGCCTTGCATTGTCATGATGCGAGATGACTCCTTCTGAAACATCAGTCCAAAGATTTTTACGCTGAAGGAGTATGGAAGCCTGTGCACAGGTGGGAAAAGTGTGTGACAGTGCTGGGAGACTATGCTGAAAAAAAAAAAGAAAAGTAAGCTTCTATCGGTATTCGAAGTTTTTACACCGAAAAATTCACCTTATTTATTGAATGACCCTCGATTTACACAATATGTCATTTCGGCCAATTAACATTCATTCATTCATCCATTTTCCGATCCGCTTATCCCCACGAGGGTCGCGGGGGTGCTGGAGCCTATCCCAGCTGTCTCCGGGCAGTAGGCAGGGGACATCCTGAAGCGGTTGCCAGCCAATCGCAGGGCAGACAGAAACAAACAACCAGTGGCGCTCACACTCGTACCTAAGGACAATTTGGAGTGTTCAATCAGCCTGACATGCATGTTTTTTGAAATGTGGGAGGAAACCGGAGGACCCGGAGAAAACCCACACAAGCACGGGGAGAACATGCAAACTCCACACAGGAAGGCCGGAGCTGGAATTGAACCTGGTACCTCTGCACTGTGAAGTCGACGTACTAACCACTACCGGGCTGCCCTCCAATTAACATGAAATCATTAAAAATGCATAAAATATAGAGTTTTGATTTGATTATATTTTGTATGTAATTTTACATCTGACATTTATGACAACATAATGTAGACATCCCTCCATTTTGAACAATGCTTATCCTGAACAGGTTTGCAGTGGGATGCTGGAGCCTCTCCCAGCTGACTTCGGGCGGAAGGCAGACTACATCATACATCAGTCATAGGGCACATATAGAGACAACAATTCACACTCACGGCCACACCGTCACTGAGTGGGAACTGATCCCACACCGCCCTTACACAAGTCAGGCGAGTGTACCACTACACCATCAATGACTATCATAGAAAAATTGCATCTGAAATTTGTATCGTAAAAAAAGAAAAGTCTGATTGCCTATTGCTTGGATTTTGAAATATTAAATTAAGAAAAAGAAGAAACGCCCACGCACCCGCACATGAAGAAGAAAAAAAATTTTGAATGCTACTGCAAAATGTAACTCTCAGTAGATTTGTTTGGGAAGTTAAGTACCTCATAGTCCAGTTCTTTCTTCACCATCAGGGCTTTGCCTTTCAGGTAAAACATTTCTTCAGGATTCCTCACAACAGTCAGTGTTACATCACTACCGGAGCTTATTTTTACCACCTGGAGGTCAGCAGTGCTGTTCTCTGGAACAGGAACAGGCCCAGCAGGCACTGTGCAGACTGAGAGAGGTGTGACAAATCAGATATTGTCCATAAGAGCAACGAGGCTTGCACCCATCAAGGCATTGTGAGACCATTATTAATTTCGCTAGATTTACAATTTTGAGTATTAACTCCTGCAACATAAACAGTAGCTACACAGTAGTATAACATGTCCAAAAAGAGTGATAGAGAGAGAGAGAGAGAGAGAGAGAGAGAGAGAAATGTGTCATTTATTGGACTGAGGTCACAGGGCACTAAAAGACGTGACAGCAAATAACTATACATCCTTAATTAGTCAGGTAAGTGCCCTGGCCTCAACCCAGTACACCATACTTGTCATTAAAAACACAAACGTGAAGGCAGGAACACCCGCAAATCAGAAAGGAAAGGAAGTCATAGTAAAGACCTGGCAAGGCTGCTGAATAAACATGCGTGAAAACCTGTAACCATTGTAAATAGCACAGCCACCTTACGCTGTGTTTTCTATGCTATTGCTATTTATTATTTATTATATTTATTCCACAAATATATTGCTAATGCTTTATTTTATATTTCACTTATATTGAACTGTGTACAGTTCTTTTCTGAAACATTTATTTTGTGCAATGAAACACTTTATTTCCCCCCCTCAATCTTGCTGCTGTAGACTGCAAATTTCCCCAGTGTGGGACAAATAAAGGTGATCTTATCTGATCTTATCTTATCTTAAGCCATCTTTAGGGAGAAAAATCAGAATGAGTCATGGATGACTATCATTGTGTCACTTTGTCCAAATGAAATTGAACCTCTGAAAATATGCAAGAACAATCAAAGCCCTATTTTTGTGAAAACACCCGTTTATCCTAATTTTACCAATTTATGATTTTCTGCACCAACTGTACAAACTGTCATAGTATTGTATTCTACCACTGATCACTTTAGCTCTGCTTGATACTTTGCACATTGTCTCACAGTTGTCACTGGGTGGTCCCACCGCACTACGGTTCACTAACATTACGAAATGTCCTTCCATACCTATTTGTCATGTTCTTGTTTATGATGATACTAATGCAGCGTGTTGTACCGGAGACAAATTCCTTGTGTGTTCTACATACTTGGCCAATAAAGATGATTCTGATTCTGATTCTGATTATTATTGACCAACTAATTTTGGACCTAACTGGAAACAACAACCAATAACAACTACTGAATTTAGGATAATCCATCCATTCATCCATCCATCCATTTTGTGATCCGCTTTATCCTCACAAGGGTGGTGGGGGGTGCTGGAGCCTATCTCAGCCATCTTCGGGCAGTAAGCGGGTACACCCTGAACTGGTTGCCAGCCAATTGCAAGGCACACATAGACGAGCAACCATCCATTAACCTGCCATGCATGTTTTTGTTATGTGGTAGGAAACCGGAGTACCCGGAGAAAACCCACGCAGGCAGAACATGCAAACTCCACACAGGAAGGCCTGGAGCCGGAATCGAACCCTGCCCCTCTGCACCGTGAGGCAGACGCGCTAACCACTGGACTACTGGGCTGCATTTAGTCTAATAATAATAATAATAATAATAATAACAATAATGAGTGTGAATGGTTGTGTACCCTGCGATTGTCTGGCAACCAGTTCAGGGTGTACCCCGCCTACTGCCCGAAGACAGCTGGGAGAGGCTCCAGCATGTCTATAAAGCCCATTAAGCAGATCAGACAATGACTGTCTGGCTGGATAACAACCACAACCATTATTTTTATGATGATGATGATGATTACATATTAATCCTCGCATGGTGGGATGCCTCCGAGTGGCGCGAGAGCGGAACGCCGGGGCTCTTGGGCTAAATGCCCACCAGCCGGTAGGGAAGCAGGTGGGGTCTCACCAGAAGGTGAGACGCCCAGCGCTCGCCCCGCCGGAACGGAAGGGAGTGGGAGTAGCTGCCCCACAACCCTCCTTAGACAATAATCACGCAAGGGCCCTTCCGGGGCCCGCACTGGGTGTGAACCTCGCGATGCACCAGTGTGAGTCGTACCGGGTGTGGGATCCGGGAAGGGCGGGCAAGTCCCTGACAGGGGCCGATTGCCCAGGAGGAGGAGGATGATAATTATTATTATTAGCACTCACTTATTCTGAAGGATCTAAAAACTAACTAAACAAGTTCGGACCTAAACACAAGACACCAGCTAAAAGTGCACATGTTGTTCAGTGGAATGTTTTCTGACTGAATTGTAGTTCAACTAACAAAGACAGTTGTGTGATTCTTTGTTACATTGCACAGCGACACGAGGACATTCTAAACATAAGCTAAGCTTTTTAAACTGGAAAGTGATTTAAAAACATCCACATGTAGTGTTGGTCAATCTACGGGACCAGATCAAAAGCTATGTGCTGGACACAAGGTGAAAGAGATTGAAAGGATGTGTTTTTCTCGCTGGTTTTTGAACAGAATCAAACTGGGACTTTTGATCAGTTTTTGTGAGATGCAGGCCAGAATCTCTGTCAGAGAAAAACATCTCATTTTTGTCATTTGGCTGATTAATTTTCCGATGCCTGCGAGCCATAGACGATTGGCAGCACTGAAAAGCTGAACACACGGACTCTCTGTCTCAGCAGCCTGATCAACGTCCTCTTGCAGCCAGCAGCAACATATGAAGTTCTAAGTAGCGGTAAGAGCTTTACTTACGCCTTTGAGCAGAAGCAAATGTACAAAAGCTGAGCGTGATGACGTATCTCAAAATGACAATCACAGGTTTGCGTTTCCATTTTCGATCCATGTCCCGATTTGTGGGTCACCAACAGATAAAGACACGAGGAGGATGAAGAGCCCGTGGTACCAGCGGGTACTCCAAATAATGCCTTGTCTGTGCTGCCTGGCGAGTGGGAGTCAACTACAGTTGCGATGTTTGTGACTTCATCTTACGGGCACATATCGTATTAAGTGGCTGCCAGCAGAGGCCTCCCAGCCTCCCACAGAAATACTTGCATCTGTTTTAACGGCTCTGTTTGCAATGGTGGTCCTGCCGCACTCTGGGGGAAAATCAACAGGATGAATGTTAACAGTGGGAAACATTGCTTCTTGCCTCCTCGTGGGGGACAGACAAGTGGAGAGGGGTCCAAAAACAAAAAACAAAAAAACAAAACAAAACATGGCCATCAGAAACTGTTGCCGATAGGTACAGATAAGCTGTTGGCATCTAGCAAAAAGTGGTCAAGCCACAAAGTCACAATGTTTTTGTTTTTTTTTTAAACTGGCCGCCCCGCGGTCCACTGGTTAGCGTGTCAAACTCACAGTGCAGAGGTTGTGGGTTCGATCCCAGCTCCGGCCTTCCTGTGTGGAGTTTGCATGTTCTCCCCGGGCCTGCGTGGGTTTTCCCGGGTACTCTGGTTTCCTCCCATTTTCCAAAAACATGCATGGCAGGCTGATTGAACACTCCAAATTGTCCCTAGGTGTGAGTGTGAGCGCGGGTGGTTGTTCGTCTCTGTGTGCCCTGCAATTGGCTGACAACCGGTTCAGGGTGTCCCCCGCCTACTGCCCGAAGACGGCTGGGATAGGCTCCAGCACCCCCTGCGACCCTTGTGAGGATAAAGCGGGTCGGAAAATTGGTGCAAAGACAACAATCTCCACCTGAATGTGGAGATGACGAAGGAGATTGTTGTCGACTTCAGGAGAACACACACCCAGGTGCCACTGTGGAGAGGGTGAGCAGCACCAAGTTCCTGGGAGTGCACATCTCTGAGGACCTGTCCTGGAGCCACAATACCTCATCACTGGCCAAAAAAGCCCACCAGCGCCTGTACTTCCTTCGCAAACTGAAGAGAGCAAGAGCCCCGCACCCCCATCATGCAGACTTTCAATAGAGGCACCACTGAGAGCATCTTGACCAGCTGCATCACCTTGTGGTACGGCGCTTGTACCGTGTCCTGCCGAAAGAGTCTGCAGCGCATCGTGAGAGCAGCTGAGAAGATCATTGGTGTCTCTCTTCCCCCACTCGTGGACGTCTACAACTCTCGTCTGACCCGCAAAGCCCTCCGGATCGCAGGTGATCCCACCCACCTGTCTCACAGCCTCTTCGGCCTGCTGCCGTCGGGGAGGAGACTGCGGTGTCTCAGTGCTAGAACCAGCCGGCTCAAGAACAGTTTCTTCCACCAGACGGTCAGGAGACTCAACTCCCTCCCTGTTCTGCCTGCACTCTCCCCCTCTGCCTCCTGCCACAGACTGTGACCCTCTCCTCAGCATCTGACTTGCGCTTATTGCACAATGCACTACTTAACTTTAACCCGCAAGGGACACAAATGCCCTTGGTTGTCGGTTGTCTCTTGAATGTTCATTGCAATTTATATATTGAGATTTATATATTTATTTCTTTTTATACAGTTGAGTTTTCACTGCCTTATTTTTAGCTGGGTGTGTTTTTTAATGCATTGCATGTTTGCACTGAGGTTTGAGAGGGGAAAAAAATCCTCTGTGCTGTATGTTGTACATATTTGACAATAAAGATGACCTTGGCCTTGATGAATGGATGTTTTGAAACTGCTCTGCTTGCCTGACGATGGGTCCAGGGTGTACCAAAGTGATGTTTTGAACGCACCATTTGTCCAAGATTCCAACATTGCACATGCATTCACTTCAAAGATTGGTCCAATTCTCAACAGGCTTTCAATGCATTTACTCACCAGTGCTTTGTTTCATGTGAGGTCAGGAACCATTTATGGAGGGTTTGAGTTGTTTATATACAAAACTGACCTTTCAAGCTTTAAAATAATCCATTGAAAAATCTAATCTTGCCTAGAGGCCTGCTTGCATTTAACTCTCTCAATTGTTTCCATTGACTGGACGCAGCCATCTTATGCTAATGAGTGTAGCCAAACCTGACCAGTGGCTGCTCCAATACCTGGCCATGGCCAGTCCCAAACCAGGATTTAGAAAAAAAGGGGGGGAGGGGGTTCGTCATGAGGGGAATCGTAAAAGCGGCGTCAAACAAATCACAAATGACTTGCTGTGGCAAGCCCCGAGGGAACAAGCTGAAAATCACAACAGCATCTTACAATGTTTTGAAAAGGGCAGGCATTCCTGATTTCTAAAACACAGAGCCCTTTGTAAGGGAAAATCAAGTTTAGAGCTGTTTTTACTGATTACTGATTACTGATGACTTTCCATCTTAACTGTCTTCTCTTTTCACTGGGAGGTGTCCCCACTCCTCCAGTTAGCGTAGTCAAAGGCCGGAGGGTTATTCTTTCAATAATTTTGGGTCTAGTATCCAAAACATCACATGTTTCTTCTTTGTCTTTAGAGTTTGATTATATTTTCCACGGATTCTTGTTTCAATTATTTCTGTTCATTTATTAAATCTCTATCCATGACACAGGAACTGAAGGTCTGCAATCAGTGGGGGAAAAATGCCACTCACCAGTGACAAAAAAAAAAAAAGATTCTCAAAATGTTTGTTTCAAAAGACTTTCATTCTACAACTGGTTCGTGTAGGGAAAATGATTTTGAAAATGCGAATTCAGTCTCATTGACATTGCTGTTATCAATTAAATCGTTGAGAATTGCTGTGATTAAAGCTACTTAAAGTAGGACTTACCATGCATCCAAAAAGTAAATTTCTGATATGACATGAACATTTTGTTTTGTTAAGGGCACCCTTATGTTTGAGACATGCAGAATATTTGGATTTCTTATTGACCTGCTTTACCTCATGTACATGGAGAATGGAGTGTTGGTGATTTAATTGCAAGTTTGATACTAACTAAATAAATAAAATAAAAATAAACATATCTAAGTGTCATTACTTCCCCAATAACAAGGGAAGTGTATCACTGCCTAACCCAGAGTGGGCCATAAATTTTGCAGGGGGCCATATAAAAAACTGGAACACTTTCCAAGGGGCAAATCCAACATGCTAACCTCACCTTCCATCCATTCAATGATTATCTGAGCCGCTTATCCTCACGAGGGTCACGGGTATGCTGAAGGCTATCCTGGCCATCTTCGGGCACCAGGCGGAATACACCCTAAACAGGTTGCCTGCCAATCACAGGGCACACAGAGACAAACAACTACCATTCACACTCACAATCACACCTAAGGACAATTTGGAGTGTCCACCTTACTGTATGCATGTTTTTGGAATGTGGGACGAAACTGGAATACCCAGAGAAAACCCGCGCAGGCACAGGCAGAACATGCAAACTCCATACAGGAAGGCCGGTGTACAGTGTATATATTGTATATCCACACTCGTACAAAGTGTTTGATATCGAGACGTTCATGCCCTTGTTCCCTTGCGCTCTTGTTCACATGTAGACTTTCCTGTGAATAATGTTCATTTTCTTTTCTCGTAATTGGATTGCCTTGTCCTTTGATGACAAGTGAAGTTATTTATTCTCCTTGCCATTTGCAAGGGTTTTGTGTTCATGACGTTTTATCTCGGCTTAGTTACCAGCGACCTTTGTTGTACTTTGTCCGTAATACGCTTTTCTAAACTAAAATCTTTTGTTCCAAACTTTATCATTTTCTACATTTGTGTGATCCCCTCCTCACCGGTTGGTACCGTATTCCTGACACCTTGAGCTCAAATCATCTCCCTCTACTCTACTTCTGCTGGAGGGTTTTACCGAGGGACTCCCTTGGAGGGCGTGGTGAGTCAAGACACCGCAGGAGGAACAGTGGCAGTTACGTCGGCCATGGCTTGCGTCGGCCTCATTCTGGAAGCCTTCATTGGTGTACTGCAGGGAGTCTCTGCGGCCCCTATTTGGCTGCTCAGACTTCAGACAGAACAAGCACTAGAACCAAAGATGAAAAAGTCATGAATCATGGCTCGAAACAGAGTTTCTGTTCATTTGCTATTAAGACGGTGGTGTTGCAGAGTTTCATCATGTTACTATATTTCATCACAGAATGACGTGTTGAGAATGCGTTGTTCTTGAGAAATATGCATCCAAAGGGAACGAGAGTTGCAAGGAAAATTGTCTTTTATTTCTATGATGTGTAAACTGTCACTGCTTGAAGACTGCTCTGTTGACACACAGTATGAATGCCAGTGTGTCTAAACCAGGGGTGTCAAACTCATTTCACATGGTGGGCCACATACGGCCTCGGTAGATGTCAAGTGGGCCGGACCATTAAAATGATACAATACTTTGCTATAAATAACCAAAACAATATGTCTTTCCTTTGTTTTGGTATAAAGAAGCACAAGAACATTAGGAAAATGTTGAAATTTAATGAACATATCTTTTACAAAACATTTCATGAAGCACCTTACATTTCCTTCGACAAATGTGCAATTTACTTTTATCATTCACATATATGCATTGCAACTGATCCCACTGATTGTACAAACTTTAACAAGTAATTGGTATTGAAAAATATAGTAATGCACTTTAAGATTAAACAAGATTCATAAAGAAAGCAAGTTTTAAAGCATTTACACGTGCATATAAAATCTAAATGTAATCCCTGCCTACACCTTACAAACTAAGGAGAGTGCTATTAAATGTGTAAATGTGAGAGTGCTATTGATAGCGTCTGCTGTCATGGGTCTGTCTCAGTGACAGACTGAGGCTGCTGTTGTCTTCTTCTCTGTTCAAAACAGTGTCCCCTTGCGGATACTCAATGAATTGCACCTGATTAAAAATATTAATTCTGTGTCTTTAATGCATTTTTTTCACTTTTACATTATCCCGCGGGCCTGATTGAACCTACTTGCGGGCCGGTTCCGGCCCGCGGGCCGTATGTTTGACACCCCTGCTTTACATAATCATCTCGCGGGCCGGATTAAACTCCTTTGCGGGCCGGATCCGGCCCGCGGGCCGTATGTTTGACACCTCTGGTCTAAACGTTTTAATTCTCG